CCAGCTGGGACCCATTACCGTCCTGCCATCCAGCAAAACTGACAGAAGGTCATCGGAGTCCAAAACAATACTTTCAACAAAGACCAGAACCACCTGAGACTGAGGTCAGCACAGTGGAGACTGTTGCTGCTTTGAACAAGACAATGTTTAGGACACAGTCACTGTGAATGCAGAGGTTAATCTGAACTCTTACTCTCAATGCTCTGCAAAGGGAAAGTACTCACACATTGTCATTTACTTTATTACAGTATTTTCTGTACAAACAACAAGCCTTTTTCCCAATAAATATTTTACTTGAACTTGTTTTTTCTTGCTTCTCCAAAACAGGAGCATCACAATTATCTATTCATAGGATATCTGATCTTCACAAAATCCAGCATCCTGTTGTTCTTTGGCACGAACATGATATGCCTTCAGCAAATAATTTAATCAGCATTGGGTTTTAAGCACTCATCGGGCCCAAGCTGCAGAAGTGGATTTCAAAAGAATGCACTGATTTTTTATTTTATTTTTTTTTTTTTAATCTGTGTATTTAACACAAACACACAAACACGACACATCGACACATTGGAAATCCACTGTAACGATTCATCGAACGTAACACTATTATTTTGAGAGGAGGAGAAAAGCAGACATGCTATTAGGGAGCACTTCCCTCCATTACTAGCCGCAGCCTGCTTATCATGTAGTCACATTATTGATTAATCATTGTGAGTGTATATGCTCCAGTATAAAATGTTGGATTTGCCTGCCACATCCTGTAAAAATGTCAATTATGTGATTTATTTATTTATTTTACTGCTTTTGGTTACTTAACTCTTAATTGTTAGAATATTATACTGAAACATACTCATTATGTGCTACTGTGAGATCACTGCTGTGCTCGAGTGTGATGTCGCAGTTTGCCCACGCCTTTCTTGGGTTTTAGCTTGTTGACTGGCAGCGTTTTGCATGTACACCATCACATCTACTAAAGTGTTTTAAAGGAATAGAGTGTAAGATTGAGGAGGGTTTAGTGGTATCTAGTGGTGAGGACTGCAGATTGCAACCAGCTGAAACTGCTTCTGATTCGGATTCCTTCAGTGTTCATTTTCACAGGGAGACAAATTATCCACAAAGGTCTCTTCCTCTTCAAAACAAACACACCGGGAGATTAAAACTGGTTAAAAACACTGAATAAAGCAGTTTCATGTCACAAATCAGTGTTTGGCACATGGCAGACAGGCAGCTAGCGCAGCACCTGCTAATGTGTGCTCACCTTTTTTCTCTAAGAACTTTATCAACATGTACAGGAGGTGTTTACTGTGAGCCGAATTCTCTGCAGAGGTCTCCTCTCCAAAACCAATGGACCTAGTGATTTAAATCGGTAAAAACACTGAATTAAGCTCCTTTACCTTAGAAATCAGTCTTTCTCCAACACTGTTTGGCTTATCTGGAACAGTCCGCTAGCGCAACGTGTGCTCCCCTTTTTATTCTGGTAACTTAAAATCCACAAATTCAGGAGGTTTTTACCATCAGCTGAATTATCCACAGAGGTCTTGTCTTCTCCAAAACAAACAAAACTGGTGATTTAAACTGGGAAAAGCACTGAATAAAACAGTTTCAAGTTACAAATCAGTCTTTTTCTGATGCTCTGGTCACAGACACAAATGGCTAACACATTCTCCTCCTCGTCACATATCGACGTTTGGTCAACAGGCCAAAACCCATTTTGGTGCTGGCCACCATTTTGTCAACTGCCGTGTCTCAGCCAGGATAAGTCTGTGTCTGCAGCGCCCAATCACACCCAGTTTTGGCAACCGTCAATGAGCCAAAAACACATTTTGGTGCTGCATGGCCGCCATTTTGTCTGACTGCTGTGTCTCAGCCAAGATAGGCCCATATCTCTAAATCTGGGCCAGATTTGGCAAAAGTAAACAGGCCAAAGCTCTCTCACATTTGGCTACATTCGAAATGAGCTTTGATAGCAGTGACTTGAATTAGCTTGTTTTGTTCAACACTTTCTCACTCCGACCTCGTCACATATCGACGTTTGGCCATGGGCTTTCCACATCCAGATACAGCGTGTAAGGTACCCTGGGTGCGTTGGTTGTTGACGTTCTGGGACGCCTTGTCAAGTTCTGCCTGTGACATGCATTGTGTTCTTTCAAAATACACTTCGGTTTTCACAGGAAATTTAACATTTACATACAGTCTCTTTCAGAATAAATACACTACGTCAGTACAACAAAAAAGTACGCAAACGTTTGTGTTTTTTTTTTCCTCCAACAACTAACACGTGTGGTTGGGATTAAACAACAAAAATGCCTTGTTAGGTTTCGGAAAAAAGAACAGGGTTTGGATTCATAAACTTTCAGGACACGAACACCACTCTCCCAGGTGAAAGTCGGACTTTCGCACCTTCACTTTCCTTGCTGACCCGCCACGTTTCTTCCTGACCCCGCCAAGCACCATTAAACTATAATGGTGGCTAGGCGCATATCATGCAGACGTTAAAGGACGGCTTTTTCGTCAGTGTCTGATGCTGCAAGTCACTGCCAAAGCGCCAGATTTCAACAACTTCAGTATGAGACCGAGTTGCCAAAACAAATGATACCGGTGATTTAAACCAGGTAAAGCCCTGACTGCATTTTCAAGATACAAATTAGTGTTTTTCTGATGCAAATGACCCTATCTAGAGCCAGTGTTTGGTGTGTCCGCTCTGGGCTACTGTAGGAACATAGCGGTGCAACATGGCAATCTACATAGAGGAGAACCCGCTCCCTATGTAGGTAAATGACTCATTCTAAGGTAACAAAATCACAATAATTCTTATATTCCCCTCCTGCTGATATGTTCCCTTAAATCCACACTGTACCTTTAAATGGTATCCATATCAAAGCATTGCAGCCTTTTAAGGAAATACCTGACTTGACCCCTTAATGTACAGAGTATTAATATTTCAAATGGAAAGTCTTTGCGCTCTTGCCAGCAAGGACATTTAGTTATTTGGGTTTAGTCGTGTCAGCACCTCGGACAGCGCCCCTTATTGTTTTGCTCACTGGGCGTGCTGAGCGCTGTCCACGGTCCTGAGACACGAGAGACATCAGCAGTGGCTTTGCAGGCCGCTTGTTTTAATGTTCCCTCCCACCTTCACGTTAATCATTGGGTCCTTTCTCGGTGCTTCCGACACGACTGGTCGATGTCCTGGGCGCCTGTTTACTTTCATATCCAATGAATAAGCTATTGTATGTAAGGCTGTGTTTACGGGTTGCAGGACGGCATCAATATACCGCTAAGTGCATAATAAATCAAGGGCACAGTGGAGCACTTAGGAGTTAATGTCAAGGTTATTAGCATATGCATATGCTGCAGATGGCATTCAGCTGTCTGCATTGTATTTTGGTGAATACTTGGTGGTGACTGCTCAATGAGGGAACATTTTTACCAGTCTTTCCCTTCTTTTCTCAGTGTTTCTCTGTGTCCTCTGAGCATGCGGTGCGTTGATGATGGCTCTGCGTCAGCGTTTCAGCCAACGCATCTTTCAGCGCATTAAATGACTCGTCTCGCCTGCACTCTGTTTCCCAAGCTTCACTGTCGAGGTTCACTGGACCACTTCTCCCCTTTGAACACATCAGCGATGCTTTCCTCCAGATGCCAAGCTCTGGCGGTGTTCACTGCTTGCTTTCTGGTTCGCACAGTAGTGTATTCCATCCGAAAATGTGGACAGGTCGTTTGCCGGGATGAACAGGTCTGCTGCGCGCAGGGAAACGACACCACTGCCGTCACCTGTTGCAGACAGTTCGTGGACAAGACTTACTACAACATCGCCATGGTCACCCGGAAACTTTCCGGGGTGCTTATAATGCTGCTTCTCTTCGCTTTGGGATACTTTATCCAGCGGATGTTGTGCACCAGATCGAGGCAGCTCACCCCGCCAAACAACGGACACCCAACTGTTACCACATCGCAGGATCCGCTCATGGAGAGCGGTACACCGGACAGCTTGATGGATCCGGCTCCTGCTCCTCAGCTGCCCTCATACGAGGAATGCAAACGCCTGCCGACATATGAAGAAACGGTGCGGGAGGGGAGCAGAGCGCGGCCGGAGTCCAACATGGGACAAGCGACAGGACATGGATCTCAGTTGGATACATGAGGGTTTCACTTTATGGCACAATTCGACATTTGAGATTTTATTTCACATCACTGTGATGGACATTTCAGAAACACAAACCGCCCAGGATGTTGTGTGCTATTTCCCCTGCAGCAGCCTCGACCGTGTGCCTCTGTGCAAGACGCATACATGATGACCCAGCTACTATACTGGCCAGCGATTTTATCACTCAGTGCTCCATTTGTTCCAAGATATATATTAGCGAGTGCCCAAGTTTGGTTTTATTGAAGGCTTTGCTTATGTTAATAAACCATTTAAAAGAACAACTTTGGGGTTGCCATGTAGTGAAAATCCGTTTGAACACTTGCTTTTAACTCTTTAATTCATCAGCAATTATCTTGCAATTTTTAAAAAAAAAAAAAAACTATTTATCGAAAGCTTAACATTTGACAATGCAAACTAGCTGGGTTATTGTAATAACCTTAACTGTTTAACTGCATTATTACGCCAGAAAATTAGTGTCATCACTGCAGCAGTGTCTTTATCACCAAATTCTACTTCTCTCGCTGATCAGACTTCTAGAGAGAGAGTTTCATGTAAATGTCTGAGTGAGATAATCGAATTCTTTTTAATAACTGAGAGAAGATATAATGCACACTGGTGAAAATCATTTCTACAGTACCTTATTATGTGTTAGTAGGTCTAATGCACAGTAATAGACTTCGTGGCTTCTCGTGTTTCCTGTGGTATCCATTACAGCCTAGTGACATTAGAATCATATGCCAGACCAATTAACATGTTCACTTAGCCTAGGCTGCTCTAACAGTAAGAAGCTTGCAGGATTCTGTTGCTCCAACTGGGTTATTTTACATGCACATAGAAGAACAGACTTAACCAAAAGGTCTGACCTCTTTAAATGTGATTTATTGTTGGTATAAAGAAGTTTAGGTTCAGATTTCCAAAGTTGTTTCAAAATAAATTTGTCATATTGTGAATAATATGAAAATAACATATTCGTTATAAACAAAAGTTAATGTTTTATTTGACCATTTGGATCACGCGTCTGAAGGCCTCTTCAACTCCAAATCCCGTCGATGCGGAACAAGGCTGAACGAACCAGTCCCGACCCGAACAAATCTTTTTCAGGTTAAACACGTCCTTGATTTCAGTGACAGTCAGAGAGCCGTTCACGTCCTGCTTGTTGGCGACAACAACGAGCGGACGGCCCCGCAGCTGCTCGCTCCTCAACGTCTTCTCCAGCTCCCTGCGCGCCTCCTCCAGGCGCTCCCTGCCGGAGCTGTCCACAACAAACACCACAGCTGCTGCGTCCTGGTGGAAGCTCTCCCAGTGCTCGCGCATCTTCCCCTGGCCACCGACGTCCCACACGGTTACGGCGATGTTCTTCCTGTTCTTTTTCGCCTCGAACATTTCCACATTGAAGCCGATGGTGGGGACGGTGCTGACGCACGCGTTGTGTTTCAGTTTGTAGAGGAGGGTCGACTTCCCGGCGTTGTCCAGACCCAGAAGGAGGACTTGGGCTTCTGGTTGTTTAGATCCTCGCAGTCCCATGACAGCGTGGAGATGTAGAGACGGTCAAATCAAGTGGGATAGGCACATCTTCCTCTTACAGTACTCTCTTGACGCAGTGTTTGCTTAGTGCGTTGCCCGGAGTTTAATAGATAAGCCATTTGCTTCGTGCTGACAATAACTCACAGCTCACCGATAAGGCGCCATACCAGGGGGCAAAGTTTGCACCAGGCAGAGGATATCTCTTGAGTTATGCAAAGTTATTGCAGCTGTAAGAAAATATTATTCAGCTGAGTTTTATGCAATGACAACCTTGTCATGCATGGGCTATGAAAGTTATTTTATTGACAGACACTCTGCTATTAAGTTTGCAGAGTCGAAAAGCACAGTGAAACAATCACCAGATACATTCTTTAAAGTTTTAATGTGCTATGTGGCTTGTTTCTGGAAAAAGCACCTTGCTGTAAATATGATTTCTAAGAATAAAGCACCTCTGAATGAGAAAGAATAAAGGTCAAAAGAGTTTTTTATTTAAAAATATATATCGGACCATGGTGCACAGTGCCTTGGATACACGCATGTTGTACGAATGAGATACAATCATTTACCTGAAATTACATTCCGACACAGTTTAGAGGTTTTAATAACATATACAACACAGTTGTTGCCTCGGTGTAAGTGACAATCAGTAGGTAAACATATTCAGACTTCTGCCAAAGAAAGAAATGCAGTTTCTTCCTGAACCGGCAATAGCCTTCTCTGTACAGTAAATAAAGAAAACATCATGGCGATTTAAGTCCTTAAATTCTTCATTTCAACACACTTTTCAAACAGTCCACACAGTCCAACTCTTGACCAAAAGGTTAAATGTCAAGATGTTGTTAACCCTTTGATGCTGCACTTTCTTCCTTCGAACTTCCTCAAAGACATCTTCCAGTTATTGAGAGACATTCTGGACAAACATTCAGTCCTGAGTCAACACAGACCTCCAGTCCATATTCAAACTGAGAAACATTTAATTTCAAATTTCAATTTCTTTGTGCATTTACATACAAGCATGAAATCAGTTCTAGAAAGACAAAGGATAACGTCAAATAAAAAGGATGGAAAAATAAATGAGAGCTGGTCAGCCATTGGAAAAATGAACTTTTCACCTTGACACAGTTGGCAGTAGTGCTTGCAAACCACTCCAGGCATTTTAAATAGCAGAGTGGTTGTTAGTTGTGATCACAAGATGTTTGCAAACAAAAAACTCTCAGTGCAAACTTAAAGGTCCAGTGTGTAAAATTTAGTGGGAATATTTGCAGAAATGGAACATAGTATAAGTCCTCCATAATCACTTTAAAATAAGAATTGTCTTTGAATGAGCCGTTTACCAAACACTGGCTCCAGCTAGGCCTATGGGTGTTTTTGCATCAGCCACCATCGCAGCACCTCTGTAACAAGAGCATTGGAAAAACACCAATTTGTTTGTTTGTTGAGGTTTTTTTTGGTTAATATTTTGTTTTGTTTATATGAAAATGCTGTATTTAGCGTTTCTTAAATCACCGGGTCCATTCTGCAGAGGAGGAGACCCCTGGGGAGAATTCAGCTCCTGATAAAAATCTCCTTAATATGAAGGTATCCTAAGAGAAGTTTCAACTGCAATGTGCAGTCCTCACGCTAGATGCCAGTAAATTTCCCTAAATTGTACATACTGTTCCTTTAACCCAAACTCCCTTCTTTCATTTGATCTACACATTTAAACAGAAAAATATATTTACGTGTATTTATTTTTATAAACACAGAGATAACAGCTCACAGTCTTGTTGGAGACGACACAGTGGCACAAAGAAGACATTGTCTCTCTTTACACAACACATGCCACTCTTCCCATCTCATCGTCTTCCCCTCGCGCAGTCTGACACTGAATATATGAATGTCTCATATAGACTAAATTAATAAATCACAGTGATCAGTCCAGCCTTCCAGAACTCTTCCATGTCACGGAGACGATACAAATCCACCTTGACTCCACACGCTGCAGTGAGGACGCGCACCTCAGCGCAGGAACCCAAATCAGCGGCATCCTGCTGCGCCCAAGACGCCCAAGCTTCAGGACACACAGAGTGCATCCATGCACGAGGTGCCTCATCTTAATTTCATCGAAGACTTCGATTGCAATTCACCTGAAGATTTCTTTGTTTGCTTGTATCAAGATCTGGCCCATTTCTCTCCCGGCTTCACCCACACGCCTCCAGTTGGATTGTCCATCACGTACACCAGCCCCCTGGCGTCACCGCGGCTTTGACTCCAAGATGTTGACTTCTCCAGTGCCCGGGAGGAAGAGTGAACACAAGCCGACTGACTGATCACCTTCTTCTGAATGCGGACAACAGGGGCTGGGGTGCAACTTGCGTCGATTCTCTGGTACATGTCCACTTCGCCAAAGCGCTGGAAAATCACCCGCGCTTCTATGGAGGATTTGGAGCCGTGTTGTCCCATATTGTGACTTTAATTGAAAACACTCGGAGGAGAATCAAAGCAGAGTTGTGTAATACGTGCTTGCGTCTGAGCTGGCTGAATGTCAAGTTTCTTCGTCTGGTGCCTGTGCGCACTCGTCTCACTTATAAAGTGCCAAATGTATGTGTATAAAAGGACAGCGAGTTCCCGTAACGTTACCGTGACGCACTTGACTTTAAGATTACGAGACGCCTGAATGTTGCAACGCGTGTCTTGTGCATTTGGATCAGTCCATGACCGATCTATTCTCAGTCTCTCCACCTGGTACAGCCTGTCACTAAACTTGACATCATCGAGTGCTTCCGAGCTGTCGGCGCCCCTCCCGAGGGCTGCAGCGGGGTTGAGTTGCCTTGCACAGAGTTATGGCATGGAAAGCTATTTGTGGTCTGGCAGGTTGAGGCATCTCAGAAACACTCACAAGACGTCGTGTGTGTCGTCCCCCCCCCCCCCCCCCCCCCCCCCCCCCCCCCCCCCCCCGTCACTCTGATCTCACTGTTTCTTGACACCGATGAGTGGGGCAAGAGCTGATTCACACTAATTAAGAGGTGATGAAGAATATTAGTCACTGTTATCTCATCTATTTCTGTTGTGCCCTTGAGCAAAGCACATTCAACTCAACTGTTTCAGGGGGCCGCAGGTGTGATTGTGTGAAAATGCACCAGCATGTGTTGTGAGAATAATGGATCAGTTGCACTGAGCATCATTATGATGCATTCAAGCACTACCCGAAAAATATGAGTAGGCCAATTAGGTGCAGATAATTAATACCATACTTGTGAGGCATTCGTGCCTTTTAAATTCATGGGTTTCATAGATGTGAGGCATTTATTCATGGATTTTACATTAGTGTTGTTACACTCTGCTTAAAATGTGTGTGTAAGCAAATATAAAATAATTCAAATTATTATTTTATGATGCATTCATAAGCCTATGTAAGGCAGCTACCTGTTCAAACCAGTAGGAGTCGCTGTTGCGCCGTCTATTTCGCAGCAAAGGTGGCAGTTCACACTGTTAGGCACACTAGGCTTGTGCTAATGATGTTAGCGTGTTATAACGTTATTTGTTTGGAAAACGTGTTAAGTATAAGCCACTTGTTTTGTCAGTGAACCTTGTGAGTTGTAATGGAGCTGAATTATGTAACATTACCTTTGTTAAATGTTGCTGTTGTCCCTGGCTTCATATTAGTAGAGGAAATGTTCGCAAGCCCCTAGCCTAATTTATACAATGTAAAATGCCATAGGCTTGTGCTAAAAATATTAGCATGCTGTATTTGTGGGGAAATGTGTCCAGTAAAATAGAAATGATTCATCTGTGAATGCTGTGAGTTATAGTGAAGGTGATTTGTGTACTTGTATTTGAAATTTTCACTATTGAGCCATGTTTAATGTGTGTTTGGGTGTGTTTTGAATCAACTACACTTTACAGCACTTCACAGAGACCTCTGCCGCCGACTAGTGTTTTGGAGGTGTAACTACAGAGTGACACAGACACCACTGCACGTGTATAAATGCTCACAACGACGTAGGCCACATCATGGGATGCCTGCTCTAACCACTGAGCCACCGGGCACCCCCTTATGTTTTGATAAAGGTAAACTGTGACAAAATGTTACACTGCAAGAATGATTCCTCCCCCCAAAAGTACGAATCACTGCAATAACTGTCAAAATTACCACAATATGATGCAGTGTATGTATTTATTTAATTTTGGCTCACATGATTTTGCTTCATGTGAAACACAATTCTAGAGTTACGCTCACATTCGTTACGGATCATTGGATTGTGTGGCTACAAAAAGACCAAGAGAAATCAATGTTGACAAATGAATTTGAATTATAAACCTGTTAAACAACTTTATTAATCTTTCACCTCAAAACCTTGAAGCAGCAGAACAAACAAAAAATTACTGCAAAGTATTTATTAGTCGAAAAACGCTCCTTTACAGCACCAAGATGTTCGACCTGTAAAGCCGGCAAACATGTAAAATACAACCCTTACAGTACATTAGAATCAAAAAAGGTACCAGAAAGTACATGACAATATCACCAAAGGACGAAGTAAAACCTAAATTTTTAATTATTTTTAAAGAAAAGTGACATTGTGCTTGTTCTCTGTCTGAAGGTCATAAAAGAGGTCGAGTCAGGTTAACTTCTGCTGGTTCACAGGAGACATGGGGAAGGACATACAACAGGGTCACGCACCTTTCATCCCAAACATCTCAGATCTAAAATATTACAAAGTCACATTTAAAAAGGTAATTTAGTGAGAAAATAATTCAACCATTACATTTTTTATTAACACACCTTACCTGTCAGTTAAATGTGAATATACCTTCTTCACTAAACTAGTCCTAGTACTCGTGGTGGAAGGTAATTAGGTACATTTACTTACTACTTGTTCTTTACTTGAGTAAATCCATTTTCTGCTACTTTCTACTAACCCTAACCCTACCTCTATTCCACTACATTTCAGAGGCTAAAATTGCTTTTTACTTTACTACATTTGTTTGATGACTTGATGACAAAAGTCACTGGGGTTATTTTTATAACAAAGTAGTGTGCTGGTATCTGTAGCATGCTACACTGCCGTATGTCACATGCCGTATGTCACGTTATGTTATATGATGTAAGTAAAGATGTTTTATTCTAAATTTAACCATGTGCTTTTGTTGCCTAAACATAAGGAATTAAACATAAAATGGGGTGTTTTGGAAGTTTATTTTCAAAAAGACTGTATGCATGTGACGAGCAAAAACTAGATTTAGTTTGTCTTCATAAAAGACACAATGCATGTAACAAGCGGCTATTGACACGTTGTCCCAGTATGTCCAAAATTGACACAGGAGGCTACCTAGTGTCATATTTCAATGTAAAATAGGTCTTCTGACAAAATGGCAGTATTTGATGAGTTGAGAAGGCGTTGAATGTACACATAATAGTTGTAATGTTTCTGAGCATAACTGAAAATGAATGACATATCGCATGGATCAATGCTTTTGCAGTTTTACTTCAGTAAAAACTTGAATGCAGGACTTTTAATAACGGAGTATTTCTACATTTCAGTATTGCTGCTGTTACTTGAGCAAAAGATATGAGAACTTCTTCCACCCCTGGGGTCTTTGTTGCATCTCTCTATGGTCTATAATAAAGGCTTAAAATCCCCCCCAAAAAAAATCTCTCTAAAAGTGCCGCTGCTGCAGGTACTCTTCTTTTGGCCGGGCAATCTCCAGCTTACACTGTGGAGGAGAAGCAAACTTTAAATAGTGACTTGACAGATCCAGCAGGTGTAGAAAAAGCAATGGAATTATTAATGCAGTGTTATTGTCGAAATCTAACTCAGCAAACCTTTCTGTTGACTTATGAGTCAAATGTACTTTGATTTTTTTTTTCCAGAATGAAACTGCTCACAGATTTAGATTTAACAATGTTTTCATTTTCATTATGTCAACATTATAGGTGGTCATGGAAGCATTTTAATATATACATATATGTGCATATATATAAAGACTTTTGGGTTATTGAAAAAATTGAACCCTCTTCTGGTGGTGGAGACTTTGAACGCAAACTCTTACAAGCAGAAGCACGGTGGATACACTACTTAAATACAGTACCTCCACATGGCGTAAATGAGTCTGTAGATTTTCAGTGCTTCTATTAACTAGCCTTTCTTCTTTCTGTCTTCTTCTTTTTTTAAAAAAAAAATCAGGCACTTTAAGATGTGCCTTCTCACACACCTGTGCATTAATATGTGTATTTTGTATATATTTTTCTGTATGTATATTGTTTGGTGCCTTACAGCTTAATAATTTTCTTTTTGTCTCAGTTGATCATCATTTGATTCAGCTGTGTTGCAGACCACACCCTATCTACACCTGCCCAAGATGAAGTGATCACTAATTGAATCCTCCCCCCTTCCTATATAGTTGACAGGACTGCACACACTTACCATTGCTGCCTGAAGAAGAGTTTGACTCCAAACGCGTCACAGAGTGGCAGAGTGGACTGCATGTTTAAGCCTGTATGTGTTTATTGGCCTGCCTGATGCTGTTCGCTGCAGATTTGAGTCATTAAAGGGTGTGTTCTTTGCTTCCCTCATTTTTTCTTTTAATGATTTTGCCCTTGGAAGCCCTGCTTGGTTTTTCCACTGAGATTTTCAGCCTGTAAATACTCATCATTTGGCTGCTTAAATTATCCAGTTCCCAACAGACAAAACTTCATTCTGGTTGTTTTTTCAGTCCCACAATCCCACAATCTTCATTTGCTGCTTGACTGTGCAAAAAATGTGCTGTCCCGAAAACTATGTTCCTCATGATCATTTGTTGAATTTATGTGCGGTGAGACAAAGTTGTCAACCATCAAACACCCCTCACTGTGAAACCAGGGGGTTAAAGGTCACACTGCAGAGTAATGTACAAGGGCGGTATCACGAACCACCTAACTTTAAGATAAAAGTGGGTGTGGGTGTGTGGGTGTGTGTGTGTGTACCCAGAGGCCCTGGATGTTGAGGTATTTCTTCTTCAAACACCTCTTGATGCTGGCTTCATCTTTGTACGTGACGAAGATGAAATCCTTCTTTGAATTGCAATCGTAGAAAAACTCAACAATTTCAATCTAGAGGGTGAAGAGGGTGGAGATTCTTGTGTTAAAATGTTTGATCCAAAACAGAACATACTGATGAAACTTCATTATAATTTAGGATATGTTTTTTTCTCCTTTTAAATTGTTTTTTCCCATAAACAAAAACAGATCATGACATCAAAGTTAGTTGACTAAAAAAGACATGAAGAAAAGAATAAAGAAGATAATCATAAATAGTTATGAAAGTTTATTCAGTAGGGTGCAGCTCTCCACCAGGTGGCTGCCTGGGCTCAAGACAATTCTTATCATCCAAGCAGACGTGCTGCAGCACGTATCAGAAGTATCCCAGAGGCTAATAAAAATTCCCGGCATGTTGCACAGAGCAAAATGATTTCTCTTGCTACAGGCACTGTATGTGAAATATAGATACAATATAATTATGAGGATGAATGTATTGTGTATATATATATATATACATATTTGAATGGTATTAACTTTGTCTGTAGGCTACAGCACAACACAGTCAGACATTACATCATAAACACAGCTAAAATAGACAGACTATTTCATCTTGTAACGTGTGTAACTTTAGTGGATCAAAACATATTGGGTATGGAATTAATCTGCAGATGCTCCAGTTCAAAGAAATACCAAACTTTTTTTATGGATATCAGTTTTTTTGAGCCACGATGAAGGTCAAAATGTGCCCTGAAACAGACAGTAAGGCGGGATGTTGCAATTTGGTTTCAATCAGCCACTTGTTCATTAGCCGTTTGCTTAATTAGGCTCAAAGATAAGACCACCTAAACATGGTTGTGCAGCAGCTTTCGGACCAAAATCAAATAAACCACCTCCCTGCAGAATTCTGTATTAGAGCAATGCATGTGTCCAAAGGTGAGTACTTCTGCCAGTAGTTCACAAACTGACCTCCAGTTCTGTAGATGATGATCAGTGCCATTGCCACTTACTACTACTACCCAGGCTGCTCTGTTGAAACACTTAAATGGGTTTTACTGTGGCTGCATCTAGAACAACTGACCTCTCCGAAGGCCCTGAAATGTTCCCTGATGGTTTCCACTGTCGCTTCCTGGCTCAAACCCCTGACAAAGATCTTCTTGATGGGCTTGGTGGATTTTTCTTCCTGGAGATGAAGAAAAATTAGTCAATGCTGAATTATGCTTTTAAGACTATACAAAAAACAAAGCCTCAGGGGCAGTACTGTGAATCGTCTAATTAACAACTGCCATGTGGGAAAATGGCTGGCATTAATTAAAATTAATAGAAGACCCTTTGTCCTAAATTACATCTTCATAATCAATAATAATAATAACAATTGTATTGGTTTAAATAATATTGCTAAACAATCTGTCTAGTCTTCTAGAATTTTTTTTTTAAAGAAAGAAAACGCATCTACAGTAAGTGCCTGAAACTCTTACAGGCATGTTAGGCTGATGTTGACTTCATGTAAATAAAAAAATAATATTAAAAAATAATATATACTGTTTTTCTTTTCTTTAGCACTCTATACATTTCATATCTAATTGAGAAGCTTTGTAGAAATCATCCTCAGAGTGTGTCAGTGTGTCAGAGCAGAATCCAAGAGTAGACATGTTCTCTGTATACCCAGAACCATCTAAAACTCATTTATACACAGTATGTGTTGACTCAGCAGGGATAACATTAAATGAGAAAAGTTTACCTAAATATTATATTTTTATATTTTGAATTGTCACCTTTCCTTTAGGCCTGCATAAATAAATAAAGACATTTCCACGATAAATTGATGCTGAAGAAGCACAATGAGTGCATACAAATATCCAGAATGCAAGAAATAAATTGTTTGAGTCTGTGTGTATTGTTTATCAGAACTAGGGTGTCAAAGGGCAAAAACAGCTCACTAATCCACGATGATGTGAGCAATAGAGCAGATGGTGCGCGTAAGAGAGTGCATAAGCAAATATTTAACACAGTGAACTTAATGCTGGGAGAACATGATACAGTGATGACCACGTCTGCCAAGATAACTGTATGTGAATAATGTGTCCGGAGCTGACAGTGTGTCACCGGTCCTCGAGCACATTCAACAAAGACTCGGAACAAATGCTTTATTTAAAAACAAACACAACATGTTTGGTGCATATTAATAAAAGTAGGAACTTTTTGAATTCTGCACAGAGATTAATTTTAATGTAACTTACCTCATCTGATGAACTCATTCTGATGCTCTTAGGCTGCTCAGATGGTACTCAGTCTGTAATAACAACACGATAATCACATGATAAATAAATAAACATGTATTTTCAATTTTGAAAAAAATCTTGACCTTGAAAGCACTGATTTGACACACAAAAAAAGAGCTAAGTAATGGTGGCTTGTGCAGAGAATGAGGAGCATCCATTTCACAACACGACCAGTTAACTAATTTACTTAAAAACGAATTAACTAATCATTAATGTAACTGAACACAAAATAAGTTTTAGTGCAAATTAATTGGGCTAATCAGTGATGATTGGTTCCTGAGTTCACTGAGCTATCTGCCAATCAAAGTCTAACAAAGTTTGTTTGGCTGGATTTAAGTTTTCTCCATGATACAGTCCTTCTAAATCATAGACCATACAGCAATGAAACAGCTAAGGAAAGCTTGTTTTTTTTTTCTTACCGTTATGTGTGAATGAAGTTTAATCTTCTGCAGGTTAATGGACGTCCTCACGGAGGTCACACTCAAAAGGGGTTTGACGGATGCACTGATGGATTCCATGGTAACCACGGTTAAGTCCACTTCAGATGGTTCCAATTTCAAAAGTGTTTTTTTAAAAAATAAACATTAAACCCACCTGTTTCTATCGCGACTTGCCATTCCACGTCACTTTCAGGAAGTGAAAGCTTATAGATTGTCATTGCTTGCACTTTTGATCAGAATATATGTCTGTCAGTATCATAAACTGCATCATTCTGTCATGTTGGGCAAATGTGCTCACTTGGTTACTCACTCGTGCAGGCTCTGACTGGCCAACGGGCAACTCTGGCACATGCCAGACAGACCATGTAGGCAACAAGGCCCCCAGCAGCAATGCTGGAGACAAAATTGATGTGATGTTGGGACAGCCCATTTGATTAGGGGTTACACCGTCCCAAAATTGTCAGTAGTCTACTTGTATTCCAAGGCAGATGCAATGGTACTGGCTATGGTTGGTTTATTAACTCCACATCATGTGCAGACACAAAGTGATGTCAACCAACCTTGCTGGCTCCCTTGCAGTACATCACATTCTAGCTACTTACTCTGGCTCTCTAATTGGTTACACAGTGTGTCTACCTGTGTAACCCAATGCCATGACACAAACTGCCTTTTCAAGATGCCCTCTGTCATGGTGCTGCCTCTGCATCTTCAGCTCCAAGTCAGTATTAGTCATGAGCGTTTGCTTACACCATACATACTGTTTATAGCATTTATTATATGTATTTAATTGATTATTGTTTGACTACTTTGCCCTTCTTCTAATAGCCCTTTAAAACTACAGATATGTTTTTTTGCAGATGACACTCAGCTGTATGTCAGTCCTACTTAGATCTAAGAAATCTAACAGCAACAATAAGATTAGTTTACAGGATTATCTTTTTCATCTCTCCTTATATATCAGGGTTTTAATTGAGTTTTCACCCAGACAGCTTGGGTTTAGTTAGGAGGTGTAGCTAATGTGAGTTCAGCTGAGACATTGGTTAATAAATAATTATTATAATAACAAATAAACCTGTGTCACAGAATGATGGTGCAGATGTTCTGCGTGTTGTGATTGGTGCACTGGTCTCTGTGAGGGTCTTTTTCAGATTGTCTTCTCTCAGCTAATTATCAAATGCAGGGCAGGCGTGAAGTGCCAGAGAAGGAGGGCTCACAGCTGTGGTGATAAGGGCACTGTGGAAGGGTCTTGGTTTGCACAAGATGTGACTGGAGAACAAGGGGAAGAAAGATGTCAGCCTACAGCCAGGTCTGAACAGGAGAGTGTAAAAGCAGGGACAGTTTGGCACACATACATGACATGCTGCAACAGCTGGACGCTGCAGGAAAGAGGGAGACGCTTCTTGGGAAAATGGTGAGTTAATCTGCACTTCACCACTCCTATGGTAACGTCCCACTTTTGTATTCACCAACTGGAGACTACCACATGCTGCAGCCAAAGCTTAAGTAGAACTGCTCTTAGCTGGTTTGGACACTCTTTTATCAGAGACATCTTATTTTGTCCAGGGGATGTTTTATTCTTCTGAGTGACTTAGACTTTTAACCTCTGTTTTATATCTACTTGTGTTTTACTTAAGAATAAATTAATTGTTCAATCTTAATCCCTGCATGCTTTACTAATCAGATAGTGTGCAGTGACATCAGCTGAGCCAACATGTCCGCAAATGTTCCAACCCACGACTAAAGCTAACATGTAAATATCGGCATAGGTAAACAGGGACGGCGCTACACTGGGGCTAGGGGGTGCTATAGCCCCGTCAAAAATCTCTGTAGCCCTAGTTAAGCCCCTCAAGCATTTTATTTTACATCTTATAATATATATTTTTAAGTTGAAAACAATAAAAAGTTCACAAGTAGCCATTCTGTTCCAATGCAATCCTCGCTTGCATGTTTGTGCTGCGCCTGTACCCCATTGATTGGTGTACCATAACCTGTGTGTGTGTGTGTGTGTGTGTGTGTGTGTGTGTGAGGGGAGAGGAGGGGAGGGGGGAGTCCTTTGTTTATACTCGCACGTTAGGCTAAGGCTAGCTAGCCTACAGTCCGTTGCAATGGATCGTTTTGTGATCAAGAAAAAATTGTAGATGGTATGAGGATTACAAATGGCTGGAATATTCATATTAATAATGCATATGGAATAAATGCACTTGCTGTCGCATTTTGGATGTATTGTCTGGTTATTGGCAGGCGATGGGCGCTGTCCGGTGCTGTCTGGTGCTGAATCTGTCACCTTTGCACATGAAACATTTTTGCCATTGCCTTGTGGTCACTTGTATTAGGCTGAACTGTTTTGTTGGACATTCTTTGGCCAAATTCAGTTAAAACCATTTTTATATCGAACATGCTTGTGCTGTGTATCATAGCTGCTTTTTTTGAAAAAACAAGAACCTCCTTATAAAGTAACTGAAGTCATGAAAATCAGTTATTTTCTTAGCACCCCCACATATCGGTCAAGCTCCCCCTTAGCCCCGGGAGAGAAAAAATCCTGGCACCGTGCCTGTAGGTAAATATAGATAAATAGGCAAAAAGAACTAAACATGAATTATGCATCAAAAGTAGACAGTCTGAGACTATGATTTATTTGCGTTACCTACAAATGAACAAGCTAGATTAATTTAGATGTACTTACTTGATAATGACGGTTCCAGCTCTGAGGAAGATAGCAGTCATCATCTACACTGGACTTCAGACTGTTACACCATGCATCATGTGACCTTGACATCATATCACCTGTACGCTTGTTAAATGTTGTTAAGTGTAGGCAATATCTTTAAAGTTTTTATGTGAAACTATAGTCATAGGTCACTGGTGTCTTTATTTCCACTTTATTTTATGTTAGATTAATTTTGTTTTTGTTGTCTTTTCCTGTTTCAGTGTTTCATATGAATGTGAATGATTTTGATTATTTCTTGAGACACTGTTTGTTAAAAGTTTGACATAAATATTTAAAAAAGTACAATTATGAAAACCCCTAGTAGATTGACCTCTACATAGTAATGACAAAACGATAATAATAATAGCTTAATAATTACTACTACTACTAAAATGTTAAAGAGAGAGACATGTGAAGTGAAATCCTTCTGTAAAGCAAGTCCCGTCCAGACCTATACACTACCAAGTGATGGAAACAAAGTGTGCTATTCACAAGTGTACTGAAATGAACATTTGGAAAGACTAAAAATGAAACGCATATTGAAGTGCCCCTTTAACCCGTTGAAATGTGGAGCGACACTTTTTGTGATGCTTTCAGACACCTTTCATAGGTGTTTAAACATTTGAACATTGAGCATAAAGGTGTGATTTCTTTCAAAAAACATGGCAAAAAGACAATGAGCAACTTGGTAAGAAAAGTTCCTACAATTTGCAAAAAAATAATAGATT